AAAGGATTTAGGGAATAGTTAGTTAAATTTCAGTCTGGTCCTTACAGAAAAACAATCAAATGGTTTTAGAATACTTGAAATTTAGAGGTCAATCAAAATGGTTTCTTTAAAAAATGTATGATAATATATATTAATAATTAATACTTATATTCAGTGATGATGCATTAAATTGATCAAAAGTGACAGTAAAGGCATTTACTGTACAATGTTAAAAATTGTATTTAAATTTTTTTTATTTTTTTTATTTATTGTTGTTCAAATTTTGTATATTTTTTTAACAACAATATTGAGCAGCACAACTGGTTTCAAAACTGATAATAATAATAAATGTTTCTTGAGCACCAAATCAGCATATTAGAAAGAGAAGGCAAAATTGTATAAGATAATAAGACTTGTTTTCAGGTAATATCTTAAATTAAACATATTTTTTCCTACCCACTGGCAAATAATCTGTTCCTGTTTTAGGCATAAACCTCAATAGTTTAGTTTGGCATATTTATGGTTAAAAACACAATATTCCAGTAGTAAATGTAATTCAAAATATATTCTTTCAAAAAGCCTTAATATCTGAGCAAAAAACAACTTACGCAATATTGCCTCTTTTTGCTTCTTAGACATTTTTGCTGAAAAACAAGACAAACTTTAGTTTTTTTTTTCAGTGAAATAACTTATAGTACGGCTGTTTTGAGAAGTTTTCACACTACACTGCAATCATCCAATCAGAGTGAAAAAACACTCCTAACGTCATAATAGTGTGACATCTCACTGAACGCTCAGCCAGGACACAACATTCAGTTTGGCAGTGATTTTAAGACACGTCTGACTGCTTATCCCTAATTAACATCTTCATCTAATTCTGCTATGCCCTATTTTCCATTCTGATATTAAGGATACACACTATAAACAGTATACAGCATAAGAATAACCAATGGATCTCTGAATGTTCCGGTACATTTACACCTTATGAACTCAAACCTTAACTAAAACCCAAAGGATTCACAAAATAGAAATATGCATGTATCTATCGAGATGAGATGGCATGATAGCATAGCCGGTGACTCAGACTCTCAGCTCATAAATCAGAGTGGATGAGCATCAAGTGGAACTCTGCAGATCGCTCATGATTAGCATACAAACACTGTACACACCAGGCTCTCCATGCTGACCCAGTGGCCCTGAAAGCACCTAAAAATGACTCAGAAACACACACACACAAAAAAAGAAAGACCAACAGTAAGAACCCATTACATAAAGCATATGAAGTGATTCTGAGAAGAAGGAATATTTATTGCTACACAGCTAGGACCAATAGTTATTTAAAAAAAACCTGAAAGCTTAAAGGGATAGTTCACCCACAACTTAAAAGTGTGTCATGATTTACTCTCACGCCGTTCCAAGTCTTCCCTTCAATAAAAGTTAAAATTGTTTGGATCCTAAAGTTCTTCAAAATATCTTCTTTTGTGGAAGAAAGAAACGCAGTGCAGGGTTGGAACAAAGTTCATTTTAATTACATAAAACAAAATAAAATGATTTAAAAAAAAATTATAATAATAAAAAAAAATTATTACTTGAAATAAAATTATTTAAAAAAAAATCATAATAATTATATATATATATATATTTTTTTTTATTTTATTTTTTTTATTTCAGCTAGTTGACAAGACAACATCTAATTTTCTTTTAGTTAATCTTGATGCACTAAAATAACTAAAACTGAAACATAAATTAATAAAAATGACAAAAACAACTAAATGATTACAATTTTAATTCAAATGAAAATAGAAAAATAAAATCTAAATGAAAACATTAAACTATAATAGCATCTCGATACTAAAATATCACTGGTTCGGAATGAATGACATATGGTGAGTAAATTATTACATAATTCACATTTTCGGGTAAACCATCCCTTTAAAAATAACCCATTGAGGGGTTCAAAACTGCAATCCTCTTTTAGTTACCAGCTCAGATCTTATCCAAAGAATATGTTTAGTTTCACACTTTGAAGTATTATTCAGAGAAAACTACTACAAATGCATGATGTGGCCAAGCTTTTATTAAATTTAGAATTAGAATTTAAAAGTAGAACAGGTTGAGAGCCGGAATAGTGTGTCGGAGTGGGCCGGGGTACTATTGATCCTATGTGTATTCACAGAACATGGTCCACCTACAGATTTCACTTCTGAACAGCTCAGTGGTCATGACCCAGTGTCTGAAGGAGAGGAGATTACCAGAGACCGCCTTCACAGGGTGCAACAATCCCCTGGACAAAGCCAAATCCAGGGGGTGAAAGGGAGGTTCAATAGTAAGTGAGCACAAAGCGTGCACATTATTCTAAACTGTGTTGAGAAAGACTAGCTTTTGACATAAAAGCCATTTCTTTGACAATCAACTAATCGCAATATGACAATGATTTAAATTTGGCTTTGGCTTACAATTATTCTACAGCACAACACCTCTTTCTTTGCTCAAAAACACTATAATTTACAAGCTATAATAACAGTAACAACTGCCACAGGGCAATGACTAATTCCTTTGCAAATGAGCAGTTTCTTCCTTCAGGGCAGTCTGAATACTGTCTGATTACTCCAATGCAGCTGCTTTAATTTTAATTGAAGGTATTTTAGAGGCTCTTTTGTTTATGTTGATAGAGATGGACCCTAGAGCAGTGATTCTCTTTTTGACTCCAAGATTTGAAGGCCAACAGAATATCTGCAATATTTCCGACAAAGCTGCTCATTTAAAAAAAAAAAATTTTTTACAGAAACCTGGAGTGAATATACTACAATAATAAAAAATAAGTATAATGCCATTTGAGATATATAAAAATGTTAAAACTCCAGATCATGAGAACCGCGGTACTTAAAAAAAAAAGATTTCAGCTAAAATTTGATTTTTAGCTGTCTCAGCTTATTTCAACCTAGTTTTGTATAATTTTTTATTTAAAAAAAAATCCTCTTTAAGCCCCCTTAAACAGTAAGTGTGCTGATGCCCCCTAGTGGGTCCTGGTCCCCAATTGAGAACTACTGCCCTACAGCTAATCTAAAACTTTCACTAATTAATTGGTCATGATTAATGAAAAAAGATGAATATGCTCAGCATACAGTATGTAAATTCCTCATGCATTAACATTAATATTGCTAATATTGCATGACTCAAAATGTTGTATGAGAGTGTCTTATCATGCCGTTAACATGTTGGGTCTGTTTAGGATTCTGTCTACTGTTGTTCTGTTACATCGGTCATTTCTACTCAGCATGCAAAGCCGTTCGCACTGATATACCTGCCCTGCATACTGAACAGCTCAGGCTTATGACACACACATAAATGCAACGAGGTAAAGAAATGCCATCCCATTCATTACTTCAATCCGTGCCTGAATGCTTTATGTCTACAGCTGGATTTAGACAAGGTCATTTCAATGGCAGGTGCAAAGTTTTTCTGCTCGAATGCAACAATCGAATCCATTCTGCCTGTGATCAGTAAGGATGCAATGACTCACAGCATCCCTGAGGCACCTGGGCCAGACGTTAGGGTGAGAAGGTGAACCTCTTGCCATGTTATAAATTATGACAGACGTGATACACATGACCTAAACAGACACTAGTTATGTAATAACAGGTCTGTAGTCAAGACTAGCAGTCAATATGAGCTTTTCATAAATAATAATGAAATCAAGCCGGTATTATGTTGTCTTAGAATAACGTGTTGATTCAATGCCTGTGGTGGCTGAATCATACTCTTGGTTACAAGACTGCCGGTTTTCCAATGATTATATAATTCACTGTGACACAGGAACACCAGGGCCAGCACGAGTCAGTCACGGATGATTGACAGATCGAGTCAGTCTTGTGCATGCTTGGCTGTTGCAAGTGTATCAGGAGTAAAGGATGGTCTCAATGCATGGTCAAACATGGCCTAAGCTGATTGTTATCATTGGTGAGACTATCTTAGACCAGCAAACCAGCTTAAGGTGGTCAAGATGGCTTTAAGAATAAGAATGGATTTTACAACAGCATTCTCACAAATGTGAAATTTCTGTTTATGAAATAAAGAGTTTACTGAGAGACCTCTGTGTTTTTCTACGCTCAAGAGTAATTAACTAAATAAATTAATAAGTGTATATATTAGGATCCTTTACTTAAAGGTAAAGGTGAAATTCTTCATCCCCCCCCCCAAAAAAAACCTGTATATCTACTTTCCTTTGCTGAATATAAAAACAGGAATTCTGAAGAATGTTTTTGGTGATTGATGTAAAGCATGCAAAAGCACCGTAATAGTACAATAACCATAGTATTGTGTGAGGAACAGATCAAAATGAAATTTGTTATTCACTAATAATAATGTTCACTTCCATTGAGCTGATCATTGAATCACCGATATCAACTTGAGAGCCCTATCGGTAATAAAAATGATTCACTGGAAGATTCAACACACATGACATTCCGAGTTCTGTCATGTTGCTTACTCTGATCAAATATTTTCATTAAATGAAGATTCGCTTTCGTTCTACTCACCACATTCTTTATCGTATGGCTCTCACAGACTTTTATGATACTTTTAACATTATATTTTTATGGCTTGACATTTTCAGTCACCAGTATTTGCATATAAAAGACACAGGTAGTCCGCAAAATACATACAGGTCTGGAACAACATGAGAGAAAGTAAATGATGACATAAATGTAATTTTAATATGAATATCAATGTACTGAATTTTCGCATTCAGTAGATAAATGAAATAGTAACGTTAACAAATACACACTGGTTTTCGGGACGTCGGTCTTCTAAATGACCGGTTTGCTCCGACAAATATCACGCCTGACCTTTCTTTTCTCGCATGAATGATAGTTGAGATCCCCACGCGCCGTTTTGTAACTTCAGCGGCAGTGCGCGCAGAGAGCTCTGAAGCCACACGTACGAATGCAGAACTGAGCTGAGCTGAATGGCTTCATGCGGTGCAGAACCCAAAACGAGTTCAGATAAAAGCAGACACTCACCTAACTTTGGCTGCCACCGATGAAATCGCATCATTTCTCAGATTCTTCCTTTTGGACACTGCAGTTCCCATGCTGACATGGAGACAACGCTTGCAAGAAAACAGCACATTCCAGATGTCAAAGCATTGAAGAAAACGCGTGAAAAAAAAGATTGAACACGTTGGTTTTAGGATGCGGGTCCTTCTGCGTTCACATGAAGGTCTTTTTATAGCATAACACACAATTCTGGAGGAGATGCGGGACAGAGGATGCTGCCGTCTCCTCTTGCTAGTGTCAACTAGTTAAAGAAAATACACACGCACGAGCAGGTCCCTCCCCTCCTCGCTCTCTCTCTTCATTGAGATGAGAAAGATACGATGGCTTGAAGAGTGTTTATGGTGGTAGGAGTGAGTGAGAGTTCAGACAGGAAACCCAGTGGGACCATATATGGAGCGACCACTCCTCCAATTCCACCCACTCTTAAAGCAAGTCCAGCCTAATGTCAGGTACAGAATGAGCTGGAGTTACCGGAACACACGCGCAAATACCGCACTACTCATAACGTTACCAGAATCATAATGTTATTATAAGGGCATAACTATGTAGTTCAATAATGGTAAAATACTGTTAAAAAGGCCCAGCAGAGGTTGTACTTCCTTCGCCAGCTGAGGAAGTTCAACCTGTCACAGGAGCTGCTGAAACAGTTCTACTCCGCCATCATTGAATCTGTCCTCTGCACTTCTATAACTGTCTGGTTCAGCTCAGCTACCAAATCTGACCTCAGAAGACTACAGAGGGTAGTCCGGACTGCTGAGCGAATCGTTGGTACAACCCTCCCTTCTCTCCAAGAACTGTACTCATCCAGAGTGAGCAAAAGGGCTGGCAAAATCACTCTGGACCCCTCACATCCAGCACACTCCCTCTTTGAACTGTTGCATTTGGTCGACGCTACAGAGCACTGAGCACCAGAACGGCCAGACACAGGAACAGTTTCTTCCCTCAGGCCATCCATCTCATGAACACTTGACAATAACTGAGGAACACATGTAGTCAAGACTAGCAGTCAATATGAGCTTTTCATAAATAATAATGAAATCAAGCCGGTATTATGTTGTCTTAGAATAACGTGTTGATTCAATGCCTGTGGTGGCTGAATCATACTCTTGGTTACAAGACTGCCGGTTTTCCAATGATTATATAATTCACTGCGACACAGGAACACCAGGGCCAGCACGAGTCAGTCACGGATGATTGACAGATCGAGTCAGTCTTGTGCATGCTTGGCTGTTGCAAGTGTATCAGGAGTAAAGGATGGTCTCAATGCATGGTCAAACATGGCCTAAGCTGATTGTTATCATTGGTGAGACTATCTTAGACCAGCAAACCAGCTTAAGGTGGTCAAGATGGCTTTAAGAATAAGAATGGATTTTACAACAGCATTCTCACAAATGTGAAATTTCTGTTTATGAAATAAAGAGTTTACTGAGAGACCTCTGTGTTTTTCTACGCTCAAGAGTAATTAACTAAATAAATTAATAAGTGTATATATTAGGATCCTTTACTTAAAGGTAAAGGTGAAATTCTTCATCCCCCCCCCCAAAAAAAACCTGTATATCTACTTTCCTTTGCTGAATATAAAAACAGGAATTCTGAAGAATGTTTTTGGTGATTGATGTAAAGCATGCAAAAGCACCGTAATAGTACAATAACCATAGTATTGTGTGAGGAACAGATCAAAATGAAATTTGTTATTCACTAATAATAATGTTCACTTCCATTGAGCTGATCATTGAATCACCGATATCAACTTGAGAGCCCTATCGGTAATAAAAATGATTCACTGGAAGATTCAACACACATGACATTCCGAGTTCTGTCATGTTGCTTACTCTGATCAAATATTTTCATTAAATGAAGATTCGCTTTCGTTCTACTCACCACATTCTTTATCGTATGGCTCTCACAGACTTTTATGATACTTTTAACATTATATTTTTATGGCTTGACATTTTCAGTCACCAGTATTTGCATATAAAAGACACAGGTAGTCCGCAAAATACATACAGGTCTGGAACAACATGAGAGAAAGTAAATGATGACATAAATGTAATTTTAATATGAATATCAATGTACTGAATTTTCGCATTCAGTAGATAAATGAAATAGTAACGTTAACAAATACACACTGGTTTTCGGGACGTCGGTCTTCTAAATGACCGGTTTGCTCCGACAAATATCACGCCTGACCTTTCTTTTCTCGCATGAATGATAGTTGAGATCCCCACGCGCCGTTTTGTAACTTCAGCGGCAGTGCGCGCAGAGAGCTCTGAAGCCACACGTACGAATGCAGAACTGAGCTGAGCTGAATGGCTTCATGCGGTGCAGAACCCAAAACGAGTTCAGATAAAAGCAGACACTCACCTAACTTTGGCTGCCACCGATGAAATCGCATCATTTCTCAGATTCTTCCTTTTGGACACTGCAGTTCCCATGCTGACATGGAGACAACGCTTGCAAGAAAACAGCACATTCCAGATGTCAAAGCATTGAAGAAAACGCGTGAAAAAAAAGATTGAACACGTTGGTTTTAGGATGCGGGTCCTTCTGCGTTCACATGAAGGTCTTTTTATAGCATAACACACAATTCTGGAGGAGATGCGGGACAGAGGATGCTGCCGTCTCCTCTTGCTAGTGTCAACTAGTTAAAGAAAATACACACGCACGAGCAGGTCCCTCCCCTCCTCGCTCTCTCTCTTCATTGAGATGAGAAAGATACGATGGCTTGAAGAGTGTTTATGGTGGTAGGAGTGAGTGAGAGTTCAGACAGGAAACCCAGTGGGACCATATATGGAGCGACCACTCCTCCAATTCCACCCACTCTTAAAGCAAGTCCAGCCTAATGTCAGGTACAGAATGAGCTGGAGTTACCGGAACACACGCGCAAATACCGCACTACTCATAACGTTACCAGAATCATAATGTTATTATAAGGGCATAACTATGTAGTTCAATAATGGTAAAATACTGTTAAAAAGGCCCAGCAGAGGTTGTACTTCCTTCGCCAGCTGAGGAAGTTCAACCTGTCACAGGAGCTGCTGAAACAGTTCTACTCCGCCATCATTGAATCTGTCCTCTGCAATTCTATAACTGTCTGGTTCAGCTCAGCTACCAAATCTGACCTCAGAAGACTACA